GATGTGGCACGTCGACCTGGAAGTCGGCACCGACTTGCAAGGTCACCGACTTGCAAGGTCACCGACTTGCAAGGTCACCGACTTGCAAGGTCGCCGACTTGCAAGGTCCCGACTTGCAAGGTCGCCGACTTGCAAGGTCACCGACTTGCAAGGTCGCCGACTTGCAAGGTCACCGACTTGCAAGGTCGCCGACTTGCAAGGTCGCCGACTTGCAAGGTCGCCGACTTACGAGGTCGCCGACTTCAAGAGGTCGACCTGGGAAGTCGACCTGCGGAGGGCGTCGACTTGGTGACGCCGACTTCGGGTAGCCGACTTGGGTTGTCGGCTTACGACTGTGCTGGTCGACCAGGAGTGACGTCGACCTGGAGCTGGTCGACCAGGGGTGTGGTCGACCTGGTGAGGTCGACTGGAGGTGGCCGTCGACTTGGGAGGTCGACGGGCGCATTTGGTTGCCAACACCTGGTCGACGTGGTTGCCCGGTCGACCAGGTTACCTGGGTGACGAGGTTCTGCGGAAGAGTGCGACGGTCGCCCATGCGATGTTGGCGAGACTGACCTCGGTGGTGGTATCCCGAGGTCGACGTGGCGGATCAGGTGGAGTCGTCAGCACGAGGATGACTTGGTGTGTGAGTTGTGCAGGTGACGAGGCTCAGCACGCCAATCATCTGCGAGCACCTGCGAAGCTGGTGCGCTGCTGTTCTGCGGGAGCAACGCTGGCACGCCGTCGACCTGCAGCGTTGGCACGCCGTCGACTTTGCACTGCTGGAACGCGGCCGACCAAGTCGTGCTGGAACGCGGTCGACCATGCTGCGCTGGCAGTTGACCGACCTGAATGCTAGCTCTGATGTAGTCTTGTCTTGCCAACCTGATTGTACCATTGTTGTCACCTTTCTCTAGTGAAACTCTTGCCAACTTGCCCCGTGAACTAGCAAGCAGTGTGTGCACTAGGAAAAAGACTAAGGACCAACGAGCCCAGAGATCACACGAGCACCCGTGCCTAGCCCGTAGTTTAGCTCCCGTTGTAGTAGTTATCTCCGCATACTTGAACATGAGGCACTCGAATATGCAATAACATTCAGGTTGTCGAATGCTTTTTCCTGCGCCTATAAGGATTCATGCGCTCTCTAAGCATTTGTCGGCAAAAACGACAGAAATCATTGGCGCCGAACCTTTCTTTGCGCAAGAACCAAGCCAAAAAGGCTGTAGTAGGTGTATTTGAACATGAGGCATTCGAATATGCAGTAAGATTGAGGTTGTCGAATGCTTTTCCCCACGCCTATATGGATTCATGCGCTCTCTAAGCATTTGTCGGCGAAAACGGTAGAAATCATAGGCGCCGAACTTTTCTTTGCGCAAGAACCAAGCCGAAAAGGCTCTAGTAGGTGTATTTGAACATGAGGAAGTTCGAATATGCAATAACATTCACGTTGTCGAATGCTTTTCTCTACGCCTATAGGGATTCATGCGCTCTCTAAGCATTTGTCGACAAAAACGGCAGAAATCATAGACGCCAAACTGTTCTTTACGCAAGAACCAAGCCGACAAGGCTCTAGTAGGTGTATTTGAACATGAGGCACTCGAATATGCAATAAATTTCAGGTTCTCGAATGCTTTTCCCCACGCCTATATGGATTCATGCGCTCTCTAAGCATTTATCGGCAAAAACGGCAGAAATCATAGGCGCCGAACTTTTCTTTGCGCAAGAACCAAGCCGAAAAGGATCTAGTAGGTGTATTTAACGATGAGGCACTCGAATATGCAATAACATTCAGGTTGTCAAACGCTTTTCCCTACGCCTACAGGGATTCATGCGCTCTCTAAGCATTTGTCGGCAAAAACGGAAGAAATCATAGGCGCCGAACTTTTCTTTGCGCAAGAACCATTCCGAAAAGGCTTTAGTAGGTGTATTTGAACATGAGGCACTCGAATATGCAATAACATTCAGGTTGTCGAATGCTTTTCCCTACGCCTATATGGATTCATGCGCTCTCTAAGCATTTGTCGGCAAAAACGGCAGAAATCATAGGCGCCGAACTTTTGTTTGCGCAAAAACCAAGCCGAAATTGCTATAGTAGGTGTACTTGAACATAAGACACTCGAATATGCTATAACATTCAAGTTGTCGAATGCTTTTCCCTACGCCTATAGGGATTCATGCGCTCTCTAAGCATTTGTCGGCAAAAACGGCAGAAATCATACGCGCCGAACTATTCTTTGCGCAAGAACCAAGCCAAAAAGGCTCTAGTAGGTGTACTTGAACATGAGGCACTCGAATATGCAATAACATTCAGGTTGTCGATTGCTTTTCCCTACGCCTATATGGATTCATGCGCTCTCTAAGCATTTGTCGGCGAACACGGCAGATATCATAGGCGGCGACCTTTTCATTGCGCACGAACCAAGCCGAAAAGGCTCTAGTAGGTGTATTTGAACAAGAGACATTCAAATATGCAATAACATTCAGGTTCTCGAATGCTTTTACCCACGCCTATATGGATTCATGCGCTCTCTAAGCATTTGTCGGCAAAAACGGCAGAAAGCATAGGCGCCGAACTTTTCTTTGCGCAAGAACCAAACCGAAATGATCTAGAACGTGTACTTGAACATGAGGCACTCGAATATGCAATAACATTCAGGTTGTCGAATGCTTTTCCCTACGCCTATAGGAATTCATGCGCTCTCTAAGCATTTGTCGGCGAAAACGACAGATATCATAGGCGCCGACCTTTTCTTTGCGTAAGAACCAACCATTACCATAACCATAACCATTACCATTACCATTACCATCACCATTACCATTACCATCACCATCACCATTACCATTCCCATTACCATTACCATTACCATAACCATCACCACCACCATTTCCATTACCATTACCATTACCATTACCATTATCATAACCATCACGATTACCATTATCATTACCATTACCATTACCATTATCATTACCATTACCATTACCATGACCATTACCATAACCATTACCATTACCATTACCATTACCATTACCATCACTATTACCATTACCATTACCATCACCATCACCATCACCATGACTATTACCATTACCATTACCATTACCTTTACTATTACCATTACCATTCCCACTACCATTACCAGTTGCATCACTATCACCATTACCATTACCATTACCATTACCATTACCATAACCATCACCACCACCATTACCATAAACATTACCATTACCATTATCATAACTATCACCATTACCATTCCCATTGCCATTACCATTACCATTATCATAAATATTATTATTACCATTACCATTACCATTACCATTACCATTACCATTACCATTACCATTACAATAACCATTACCATTACCATTACCATTACCATTACCATTACCATTACCATCACTATTACCATTACCATCACCATCACCATTATCATTACCATTACCATTACCATTACCATTACCATTACCATTACCATTACCATTACCATTACCATTACCATAACCATCACCATTACCATTACCATTACCATGAGCATTACCATAACCATCACCATTACCATTACCATTACCATAACCATAACCATCACTATCACCATTACCATTACCATTATCATTACCATTACCATTACCATGACCATGACCATTACCATAACCATTAACATTACCATTACCATTACAATTACTATTACCATAACCATCACCATCACCATTACCATTACCATGTCCATTACCATAACCATCACCATTACCATTACCATTACCATTACCATTATCATCACCATTACCATTACCATTACCATCACCATTACCATTACCAATTCCATTACCATTACCATTACCATTACTATTACCACAACCATCACCATCACCATTACCATTACCACTACCATTACCATTACTCTTACCATTACCATCACCATCACCATGATTATTACCATTACTATTACCATTACCATGACCATTATCATTACCATTATTATTACCATTAGCATTACCATTACCATCACCATTACTATTACCATTACCATTATCACATGATTATGACCATTACCATTACCATCACTATTACCATTACCATCACCATCACCATTATCATTACCATTACCATTATCCATTACTATTACCATCACTATTACCATTAGCATCACCATCACCATTACCATTACCATTACCATCACCATAACCATTACCCCATGACCATTACCATGACCATTGCCATGATCATTACCATTATCATTATCATTACCATCACCATCACCATGACCATTACCATTATCATTACCATTACCGTTACCATTACAATTACCATTAACATTACCATTACTATTACCATTACCATTACCATTAATATTACCATTACGATTACCATTACAATGACTATTACCATGACCATTACCATTACCATCACTATTACCATTACCATCACCATCACCATTACCATTACCATTACCATTACCATTACCATAACCCCCATTACCATTACCATTACCATTACCATTACCATTACCATAACCATCACCATCACCATCACCATTACCATTACCATTACCATTACCATTACCATTACCATTACCATTACCATGACCATTACCATAACCATCACAATTACCATTACCATTACCATTACAATTGCTTTTACTATTACCATTACTATTACACTTGCATCTTCCTAGTCGCAGCACCATCATCGCTTCGTTCCATCTCTCCTTCTCACGCCTTCCTTTCTCCTCCCCCCCATTTGTAGCACATGATGTTGGTTCTTGTGCAAGGCGGTCACACAAAAATCACAACACCATCACCATCATCTCATTCCATCATATTCCCTGCTCCCCTCCCCTCCCCTTCCCTCCCCTCCCCCCCCTCCCCTCTCCTCTCCTTTCCCCCTCTCCCATCCGCTCCTCTCCCTCGCACCTCACCATCTCTATTACCCCCTCCACCCACCACTGCAGCACATGATGCTGCTGCTGGTGACAGACGGGCACACCAACCCCAACCGCCCTTTCTCCATAGTGGCCAATATGAGCTCTCGCACCGGGTCCATTTCCGGAAACCACATCAGCGGCTGGTACTGGTATACTCCGGCCGCGCTTATAAAGCTGTGTTGAGCCAATATGAGTTCATGACCATAATGAGCAACGTGTATCCATGTTACCTCAGTTGTGGCCGACATGAGCTCTCTTACGGGTCCATCTCCGATAACCACATCGGAGGGTGGTACTCATTCCGTGCCTCTGAACCAGTGTAAGTTAAGTTGTTGCTCTATTGTGGGTAACCAGCAGTAGCGTCATTTCCAGTCAGAATTCGACTTTGAGAAATCCTGCTGTGTAGTTGATAACATAAGTCCACAAATTCTCAATGCTACCCTGCTCCCCTCCCTCTCCCCTCCCCTTGCCCCGTTTCCACAGTCACCAAGATGGCAGCAGTGGAGTTGATTGCCCGGAAGAGCCCAGTCGTTGCTGTGTTGCTACACCCCACTTGGTCGTTTGTCACTGCGGTCCTTTGAGGAGTTCACTTGGCTCTCCTCCACCCTCCCACCATTGCCTCACTCCCTCTTCCCCCTCCCTCCCACGCACGCCCCCCTCTTTCCTCTTCTTCCCAGTCACCAAGACGACACCAGTGGAGTTGGCCGGCCGGAAGAGCCCAGTGGTGGCCGTGCTGCTACACCCCGGCACTGTAGACACCGACCTTACCCGCCCGTTCACTGCGCACTTGCCGGCCGATAAGATTTTCACGCCGGACTTTGCTGCCGAGCAGCTATTGGGTGTTATCGATGGGTTGAGCGAGAAGGACAATGGGCGGTTTATTGCATATGATGGCACGGTGATTGGTGCGGGAACGGTTGTTGGGGAAATGTTTTTAATGTGCTTAGAGAAATTGTAGCACACTAAAGATTTGCGTTTCTTTTTGTGTGGTTACAGTTGTTGAGTATAAAGTGAACAAAAGTGTTCAATGCACGTCATTCTGAGTGCATGTCATCCTAACGTCCTGCCGAGTGCTCGTGCTATTCATGCGTTCATTGTGTGTTGAGCATATGTCATTGTGCATGGCTGTTGGATATTATCATCTCTGCGTTTTTTCTCCAAGTTTAAATGCTTGATCATGCAGGAGAAATCCAGAGCTTTCCAACGATACCAAGATCGCCTTATTCCGACCAAGATCGCCCAAGTTACAAGGTTTTCAAGACTTGGATTTCTTATTACCTTTTAAGGTTATATCTAATTTGGGTGATTACTTGGACATGACTATAAAGGGATATTTGGTTGGGTGGTTTGGGAGGCAACTTTAACTTTTGAAGTGGGGTGGCTAGAAGTTTCTAGCATGGGTTGCAAATGTTGCAACACCTAGGCAAAATACAACTAGATTGGATTTTGCATGTGACACCTCAAGGACCTCATGATGAGGGTTGCATCCTTGCTGCTAGGAAGGTTCCTACCATCCTCCCCTAGCTCTTGGAAAACCCCTTCCCTCTCATGGTTCTCTTGGAGGTTCCCAACTCCAACTCTCTATGACCTAATGCTTGTACTTCCTCCACCATTTTAGTCATGCGGCTGCTGGACGTTTTTACTTGGTTCTCACTCTCTAGACCATCTTAACGACTGATTCAACTTGGAGATGGTATCTAAGCCTAAGGCGCACAATCCTACCAAGCGGATTTGCGTTTAGTTGAGTAATGAGTTCGTCGTAAGCTCTCAAAGTGACGGATCCTGAACAACAAGTGGTATCAGAGCGGGTAGTCGACTTTGAGACGACGAATCGTCGTGACATCTCAACCAATGTTGACGAGTGAGACCAATTTATACTAGCCTGCTCGCGAACGTTCGATTGGTGGTTGAACCGCGTTGTAATTCGAAGTATCCAGTCCGCGACGACGTTTTTCGTAAAGTGGAAAGTTCTGGCAGAATTCTCTCCAATCGATTTCTCAAGTTTCCACCGTTTATAAGGCCTCAATATGACTGGTACGGAATCCGGAGGTGGTAATGGCGAGATGGCTAGAGGTAGAGAGGCTGGAGAGCAGGGGGGAGTTGCTAGTGGTGGAGTGGGGACTCACCAACCAGCCAACCCTACGCTACCTACTTCTTCTACACCATCTTCAACAACCGTGGATCTTGTGAAGGCGTTCTCTATTGTAAAGTTCATGGGGGAGGACTACGAGCACTGGAGTTTCCGCATGAGGCTGATGTTTACTCAATACAAGCTATTGGATCTGGTGGAGGGGAAGGAGAAGATGCCGGAGGCCACGGAGCTGAAAGGAGCATGGATGAAGCGCTCGTTCGACGCGTACATGCTCATGGTGCAAGCGGTTGGCGGACGACAACTTGACCACATCAAGGACCTCTTGGGTGATCCAGAGTGTGGCCCCAAGGCTTGGAGAAAGCTTCTGGATGTGCACTCACCGACACATGCTACCGGCATCGTGCTACTCGCGCGGCTGCTGCGCGACATCAAGTTCGTTGATGGAGAGCCGATGCAACCGGTGTTGGATGAGATGCGGGACATCTTCACGAAGCTCCAAGGCGGCGGTGTTGTGTACCCGGAGCTCGTGCAATGCGTGGAGATCGTGATACGGCTGCTGGAGTCGTGGTCTGCCCTTGCGATCAGCCTCAACTCTCAACAGTCCCAATGGAGCGTGGATTACATTCGCGCGCGCATCCTAGAGGAGGACTTGCGGCGACGGAGTGTGGAGCGCTCGGAGGAAGGGGCTGGCTATGGAGTTGGAGGTGGAAAGAGTGGCTTCAAGAAGAAGTGGAAGGGAAAAAACAAGGACAACCCTAAGGAGGATTGCGGCGGGGGTCAAGGGGAGGTGTGCTTCTACTGCAAGAAGCGCGGACATCGTTGGCGGAAGTGCTACCAACGACCCAAGGATTGAACCCCGCCTTCATCAAGAAACCAGCGTGGTGGCACGAGGAGTGGGGGAGTCATGGAAGCTAGTGGGGAGGAGAAGGAGGAGGAGAAAGGCGGCAAATCTGAGGAGCGGAAGGCCGGGTTCTTCTTCTTCGTGAACGAAGGCGCAACCGACCTCGCTATGGCTGCCAAGGTTCTCCTACACCCCCTCACCCACTGGGTGATTGACTCGGGAAGCTCCTGGCATATGACTCCTCGTGCGGACCTACTCGATGAGATTCAGCCCGCACCCATCTCTACAGTCACATCCGCGACGGGCGCCAAGGCCAAGGTCATGGGCATGGGATGCGCCAAGTTCGTGGGAGCGGATGGAGAGCTCGTGGGGCTGAAGAACGTGCTGTGGGTGCCGGACTTGTGCGCGAACCTGATTTCTACCGGCTGGTTGGGAGATGCGGGTGTGAACACCGAGACGATTGGCTCGGAGCGCTATCGTGCCTACAACAATGAGCGGCTGATTTGGGACCTGCAGCGGAAGGGAGATGTCCACAAGCGGATGTGGCCGATCCCTGTCCTACCTTGGCGGAAATCGGGCAAGGCGGCAGCCGCGGCATCTATGGAGGAGAGCGTCACTGAGGAGGAGCAGCAAGGTGTGCAAGGAGAGGAGCTGATTGGAGGAAGCGCGGCGGTGAAGGCGTCAGCTACCTCGGGCCCAGCGGATTGGGAGACTTGGCATCGGCGGCTCGCACACGTGGTTGTTTCAACACTGGAGGTGATGCATAAGGAGAAGTGCGTGCATGGGCTGCAAGTGCAAGGAGATGGCGCTCACTATGGCAGATGCGAGGCGTGCATGCAAAACAAGTTTGCGCGGTTCCCGTTTCCACGTGCGGAGGGATCAGCCAAGGCATCATTGGAGGTGGTGCACATGGACCTGGTGGGTCCTATGAGGACGGAGGGGACTGGGGGAGTACTGTACTTCCTCATCATGGTGGATGAATGGAGCAGATTCATATGGGCTCGTCCCTTGTCCAAGAAGAGCGATGCTGCAGCGACGATCAAGGAGGATTGGTTGCCGATGGTGGAGCGGCAAGCGATGCGGTTGGTGAAGGTGCTGAGGAGCGACCGTGGTGGATAGTTCCTTGGAGCGGAATTCACCAAGTTTCTCAAGAGGAACGGCATCCGACACCAGCTGACCTGCACAGGAACACCGCAGCAGAACGGCATTGCTGAGCGTGCCAACCGGACCATTGGCGAGGCGGCTAAGACCTTGTTGGGGGGTGCTGGGATGCCTTACAAGTTTTGGCTTGAAGCTGTTCGCCATGTCATCACGGTCAAGAACAGGGTCTTGACACATGTTGGCGACAAGCACTGGGTGCCGTATGAGCGTTGGCTTGAGAAGAAGCCATCCATTGACATGCTGCGGGTGTGGGGCTGCATGGCGCTTGTGATGGTGCCTAAGGAGCAGAGGCACAAGCTGGAAGTTGCTGCTGTGTGGGCTATCCATCTTGGGATGGCTCCTGACTCCAAGGGGTGGCTGATGTTGGACCCCAAGAGCAAGAAGACACTGGTCAGCCGTGACGTCAAGTTTGTGGAGGACGTCATGTACAAGGACTGGCAGCAGCAGCAGCAGGTGCAGATTGGCTTGCGTCTGAAGGAGATTGAGCGGTCTGCAGTGGAGGAGGTTCAGCTGCACCTTGAGGATATCCCTGGGTCAGAGCTGACCAGTGACCACAGTGGCAGTGGTGAGCAGCAAGGTGCTGGTCCTGCTCCTGAGGAGGGGTTGGAGGATGAGTCGGCACGTGTGGACTCACCATCTCAGCCCGAGCCTGCTGCAAACGCCAAGGTCACCAAGAGGAGTGTGCAGAGAGGAGCTTCACCACATGGGCAGCAGACTGCAACCCGCGAGAAGAGAGTGGCAGCAGCACCCTCAAGGCTGAAGTATAGCCGCTTGGGAGGACCCAAGGAAGGTGCCATGGCGGTTCAGGGGGATGAGGGAGAGGATGAGGAGATGGCCTTCTGTTTCTTCACACCCTTGCCTGGAGAACCAGCCACATTGGAGGAGGCACTCAGTGGACCCCAGAAGGAGGAGTGGAAGGCTGCCATGGATGCGGAGTTCAACAGTCTCATTGAGAATGGGACTTGGGAGCTTGTTGAGTTACCCGAGGGGCGACGACCGATCAGCAGCAAGTGAGTCTTCAAGGTGAAGAGTGGTGATGATGGTGCGTTGGAGTGGTTCAATAGCCATTTGGTCGCCAAGGGGTTTCAGTAGAAAGAGAAGGTCGACTTTGGGGAGATCTTCGCTCCCGTTGCTAAGCCAGTGACACTGAGGAGTTTGATGGCTGGCGCAGCTGTGAAGGGATGGCACGTGAAGCAGATGGATATCACCACTGCGTTCCTCAATGGAGTGCTGCTGGAGGATATCTACATGGCGTAGCCCGACGGCTATGAGGATGGGACCAGCCAGGTGTGCAAGCTTAAAAAGACCATCTATGGTCTTAGGCAAGCGCCCAGGTGTTGGTACGAGAAGCTGGAGGAGGTGCTGCTGGGTGGAGGCTTCAAGACGTCCCAGGCGGATCACAGCTTGTTTCTGCTTGGAGAGGGGGAGCAGCTTGTTTCTGCTCTTGCTGCTGGTGTATGTCGACGACATACTGCTGTTCTCACCTTCCATGGAGCAGATTGAGAGGACACGGAAGCTGCTGATGGACAACTTCAAGTGCAAGATGCTAGGGGATGTCCACTACTACTTGGGGCTGCAGATTGAGAGGGATGTTGAGAGGAGGTGGCTGAAGGTGCATCAGTCACACTACATCTCTGGTGTCATGGAGCGGTATGGTGTGACTGGGGGTCGTACTGTGATGACACCGTTCCCCACGGGCTTCAAACTGAAGAAGGCAGCTGAGGAGGATGATGTACTCGAGGATGAGCAGCCAAATGAGTACCAGTCACTCATTGGGAGTGTGATGTGCACGCGACCTGATGCTTCATTCGGAGTGGGGCAGCTGGTCAGAGTTGTGCAGCGGGCCACTGAGGAGCAGTTGGAG